GAATCTATCTATCTATCTATCTATCTATCTATCTATCTATCTATCTATCTATCTATCTATCTATCTATCTATCTATCTATCTATCTATGATGCCATGTCCATCTCTTTATAAGGATGTGGAATGTTTCCGGACATCAGATTCAGTGACCTAGTGACCTAGACTAAGTCACGTTGTTCGCACCTTATTTCAGCTGTGATCTCAAATCCTGTTTTTCTCTCGTGCTATTTCACGGATAATGGGCGTGGGCAACATAACCAAGTTCTTCATGGGCCGTTTCAAAGGGAAAAAAATATACCTTCTTTAGGGGGCTAGTGCAACAACAAAAAAGAGGGGTGTTGCTATAGCTTTACGACACTTAAAGATTTCAGAGAAGAAAGGATAGTGGCTCCGATTCCAATTGTATGTTATTCTCTTTTTCGCCTCCATTGAAATAATAGAAAATGGTACTTTAAAAATTGTGAGTGAGTAATTACTTTTTTTCCTTTTTGTATTGTCGTTACCTGTCCTGAGCTAGTGCTAAACCGCGTTCGACTGTGAAGCTCCTGACTGCTACACCGCAGACGCCCATCTGACTTGACGTATACTATACGGAGTTCTTACATGTTCTAGTATTTTCGGTGCTGTTTATATTATTTTTCCCTCTAAATTCACACTTAATTAACTGGCACGTGGAATTCCATTCCAGAGGTCCTAGTGTGTTGTTATTATTTTTATTTTGTTTGGTGGGTTTTGCGTGTGCGTGTTGTTTTATTGTTTTGTATAGGTTATTTTTTAGGGAGGCCCTAAATATTTTAAATATAGAAGAAACCACTATTGACGACATTATTATGAGAGAAAGATGAATCACGCATCTTCCCCTTCTCACCGGCACTTTTCTCCTGCGGTGTGGCGTCAATGGCATGCCAGCCACTGTAACGTCCCCTCGCACTGGCAGAACTGTCCAGCTCCGGTCGGTTGATCCACACGTCATTCCAGCAGTGGTAGTTCCTGAAAGGATAGGGTGGGGTTTGTGTGCATGGATGAGGATGATTGGTTGACTGATAGACTGATTGAATGAATGATTGATTAATTAAATGATTGATTGATTGGTTCATTATTTAATTCATTCATTCATTCATTCTTTCATTGTAATAATATTTATATATAGGCGATCTCATTCATTCATTCATTCATTCATTCCATTCATTCATTCATTCATTCATTTTTTCTTTCATTTATTCATTCATTCATTCATTCGTTTGTTGATTGATTGATTGATTCATTCATTCATTCATTTCTTCATTCATTCATTTCAATATTTAGGCGTAGGGAATTTTACCCCCCCCCCCCAATCGACACAAGAGGGGTTACTATGTTGAGATTGCGAAAGAAAAGTGTGAAAAGGGATACTATTTGTGAAATCGAATGATCATTTTTGTATACTATTATGAGTTTCTCTGTCTCTCTCTCCCTCTTTCGCTCTCTCTCTCCCTCGCTCTCCCTCTCTCTCTTTCTCTCTCTCTCTCTCTCTCTCTCTCTCTCTCTCTCTCTTTCCCTCTCTCTCTCTCTCTCTCTCTTTGTCATTGGACGAACTTATTAACAAAACAAAAAACACTATTGCTTGGACGCATTTCTGTTAAAAAGAAAATAGAACAATTCCTCACCATGTGGAGTCCTGTTTGTATTCTGGCATGTCGTCGCCATCTTCGTTCTTGTAGCTGTCGATGGTCACTGTGTGGTCAGTGTCATGAGCCGACTCGTAGTTGGTCAAACTACGACATGGGATGCCTAAGGCTCGACACACTGGACAATGGAGGAATTACATAGCTGCATATTATGGTGGCCAAATAAAGTGAGAAATCACAAGAATTGCTGCAAAAAAGCCACAAAGCAAGAATGTATATTCGACGTTTCTGTCAAAAACCGTTCCCTAACAATATGATATTTTACAGCGAAAGCACAATGTATAACTTTCGGTATTTCGGTAATCATTTAACACTCTAATAGAAATGTATGCAACAATATTGGACCTATTGAATAATAATAATAATAATAGATAGTATTTGTATAGCGCATATCCCCGCTCAACAGCAGGCTCTATGCGCTTTACACTATATTATTACCCCAGCAGACCATAGAACACTCCGAAACATTCTC